TTGGTCAAGCAGGACCTTCCTCCGCAGAATCTGATAAGAAGTAGAAGCGATCGTTGGAACAAGAGCTTTATTCGCCTTAAGTCTAGCATTCTCGCTTAAACCCATCATCAGAGACAGTGACAGTGACCCGTCTCTGTCACTGTCTCTGATGATGTGTTCGAGCTACAATCCGAAATGTCAGGCGAATAAAGCTCTTGTTCCAACGGTCGTTTCTAATTCTTATCAGTTCAAGTTTTCTTCGCCACTCCTCTGTGGCAGCCTGTGCTCCCACACTAATAGTTGGCATTTTAGCCGCTCCGGTGGTGCGTATTCTGGTTGGGAAACTCCCTGGTGGGAATATATTAATTGAAAAGGCCTTGAGGGAGTGAGATCAACATGCTCTTTGCAATTTGCTTTTGCGTGTCCTAGGATGCGGTGAGATGGAGGGTCCAGTAGTGCGCCGTCCGAGCCTGAAGGCTTTCAATATCGAAACTTCTTGGTCGGATTGAAGCATTATAATCAGGAGACCTTAGAACAAGCCGAGATCTGCTGGGACGCGTTCTTTAGGTGTGTCTAGAAACCCCCCAATTACTGGGCACTGATCTCAGAACTACATGTCGTTGTTGCGTGATGATGGTGAGTGGGGAGTTTCTGACAAAATTTTCATGACGATGCTCAGGTTGCCATCCCATGTGGGAAAATTTTCTTGAATTAACCGCGTCGTGTTTGTGTCAATACTGTCCTTAACGTTTATGTCAACAGAGAGGATATTCGTATCCGCCCCGACTGTGTATAATCGGTCGCGGGGGTTTCTGTCGATTGCTATAACAAGCTCCGCCTTTTCGCCTCGAGTAAGACAAAGTCGACCGATTTATGTCGCTCCTTCTTCAATAATTAGTCCATTGTGGCCTAATTTCTTCCTTTGATGTGCCCAAGGTGTCTGTGTACGATCTGGGTCTTATTAACAATCACCTGCTTGTCCCCGGTTCCCTTGCGGGGGGGGGTCGGTCATCATCTGCTCTCCGCTCTCTGGGCTTCTGCATATGTAGAAACTGGCAGTGATCGAAGTCCACGTTCTCCGAAAGTCGTGTTAATGTTGTTGATGTTCTTGTTGTTGTTGTTGTTGTCGTTGTTGCTGTTGTTGTTGTTGTTGTTTGTGAACGATGCGAATATTGTTATCTTGAAGTACATTTTGAACTCCAGTCGGCTGCTGGAGCGTGCAATATGTCGAAATGTCGAAAAATATAGACACCGGAGGACGAAAATTTGCGACCAAATTCGAAACGCACGCATAGTTTGGAGAAGAATCCTACCGACCGTTTGACACGCAAGTTGTCACTGTAAAAGTTCATAATGAAGGTAATGCATGAACGCCATGGTTTGAACATGTTAGATAACGGTCGTCACATAATGAAACCGAAAGAATACTAGCCAAGTTAAAAAAAACATCTGAAGTCGCTTATCGGATCTGGCACAGTTTCGGACTAAATAATTACGTCGGAGAAACCAGGAGACTGCTCTGAAGTGGAATGGCCGAACACACGGCAGCAGTACGGAGGAATGATGCCAACTCTCAGGTGGCGGGCCATTCGACTAATCCCGGCTACATGTTTAAGTTCGATAAGGCCCAGATTCTCGCGAGAGACGAAAATTACGTGAGTTGCTAGCTGTTTACATCATAGTTCATTGCCGATCCCCACCCGCCCCCGCCTATTTAAAAGTGCAATGACATTCCCCATGCACATTGGGTGCCGAGACTTCGTCTAGGTGAAGTAATTGGAGACGTGGGGATTGCTCAGGCGAACGCTGTTCCCAACGTCAAGGTCGGTGGGTCAGATGATCGAGCAGTCATCACACCAACAGCCAAGCATCACGTCATATGCAACGATCCCTGATAAAGGAGAGAGTCTTGAATTATCTTAGGAATGCAATAGCATGGTGACTGCATTCTATAAATACTGCAGCCGTATGTGCGATTTGCTAATAGAAGCGAAGAGGCGAGTTCCAGGAAGTAGTAGTCGTGAGGAGGGAGATATGATGGTTGAAACAGGAGCTTTATTAACCGGACATTTCGGATTTTCCCTCGAATTCATCACCAAGGGCAGAGTGAGATAAGGGTAGTGGATTGCCTAGGTGTTGCAGTATTTATAGGATGTAGTTGCTAGGCCGCAACATGCCTATCAAAGTTGGCAGCTGCCGAGTGCATCACAGCTCAACTGGCCAGATGCTGAAGCATGCAGTTGCTATGCCGTTACTACGCGTCGAGATTATCGGTTGCCAGGCTTATCGCACGCTGCCGAGTGGCTGACTGTCGGATTGCATCATGCGTTTGGACTCTTGGGTGATTTGGCTATAGTCTTTGATGGATTGATGATGGGTCCAAGCAGGAATGCGAAATGCCAGGCCAATTAAGCCCTTGTTTGACCGATCATGTCTCCTTCTTCACGACTGCTTCCGGGGACTCCACTCTTTGCATCTGTTGGCAACTGAAGGTAGTCTGTGAAGGAGGTGGTATGAATGGGCTAGCCAACACAGCGCGTGACGTCATGTGGCTCTTATAGGATCCCCCAAACAAGGCCTACTGAAGGCAGTAAGTGGACGTTGTGAATTTGAAAACCAGGACTCGAATCCCTACCTCAATTCGCGAACTCCTGCTATGATATATACCTCACCGATGTTAATCCTGCCCAAGAACAAACCATAATTCCATTCGTGGAAGAATGCGTTGCAATTTTGAACCTGTGCGTTTTCAACCGATACACTTTAAAATGGACGGTGTGTGACGTACAGCCGCAGAAATCCCTCAACTCCAAACCACCACCTATGGTAAAATCAAGCTTGAGGGAAGAGCTAGCATAATTCGGAGCAGCAAAGCTGCGAGCCTTCAGTGAAGACCGTGCTGAGAGTGTGTCATCCTTTTGTCACTGGGTGGATACCCCTATGCTACACACGCAACTCGAGCACGACTCCAATCTGTACGCTCGAAACTCCACCTAGCCACCCCCTCCAACCCTCCGAACCAGATGAGAAGTTTTTACTGCCAAGCGATGCACCTAGGTTTGCGCGGGACTGCTCATGTCTGAAACTTCGTTTGTGATTGATGCGTCTAACCCTAATCTAATGAGAGCACTATTTGTTATGACGTAATGCAGAACTGCAGGTTTGTAACCAATTTCCGGGGTAATGTAGTGCCACGCGTTGAGGTAAATGCTGCGCAAGTCTACTACCAGTATAAGCTAAATCATTTTGTAATGGCAGTCGTGCAGTCAGCACCGAATTGTCAGTTATTTTGACAAGGAAGTCTTCCACTGTAGTCATGGAGTCGCGCTCTTAACGTTCTAGACTTCAGGATAGGTAGGTCACCGAGCCGACCTTGGAGCTCCAAACTAGTTAAATGTTTAAGTTTTCCGTAGTATTGAAGTAAGGGCAAACAAATGCAGCCTGCTCTATGCTCTCGCAACAGCGCTCCATACTTTTTCTGTTTACGGATACCTCTGACTAGAAGACTGTCGACTAAAATCTCTGCATCCAAGAAATCCTGCAATCTCGCTAGTACTGGACAAACCCTGGTCCCTAAAGATATCTCCTTACTGTTAGCTGCAATATACGTACTATCCTGTCAATACGGCGTATTTACAGGAACTTCTGATGATTTGTGTTTTTCTAGGGCAGGATTGGTCTGAGGGCGAAGACTGACTGGTCTGCAGTTAAAGACGTATAGTGGTGTTGGCTAAATGCCATAGTTCACGTACACTTATCCTTTGCGAACGTTAGTAAAGGGCTGACTTCAAAGTTATTCTACTTGAGCTATTTCATTTGCTGGATGGTTTGCATGGACATACGAAACCCCACCCGGCCACCCTTCCCTCCACACCAAATGACGAGTTTTTATTGTCAAGCGATGCACCGAGACTGGCGTGAGACTGCTCGTTGTTGACATTTGCTTTATGAATACTGCGGACAACCTTAATGCAGTAAGAGTAACATTCGTTATGGCACAATACAGAGCTGCAGATTTGCAACTAGCTTACTATATGTCTAAAACTGATGTTTGATGGCTTACAGGGATTTTTTGACGTTTTCGAGATTCTCCACCTCTAAAATTGTCATTTTTCTAAACAAAGTAATATTGCATCTTAATATTTTATGGGTTAAATTCGCTTAAGGCATTTATCATTATCTCCGGACTTTGTTCCATTCGTTTGTGTCTGTTTGTGAGCGATAGACAATCGTTCGTAATTCAGAAGAGAATCTCGGGGAGGGGGGCATAGGTGGGCTTTGGATAAATTTTAATCGGCCAAGTACATTTTTATGAGGATGAGGTAGAAAGTAAAACCTGTGGTCGAGAAGAGAAATCGATTCTGGTTCATGATTTAACGCAAGCGGGGTGTGTGTATAGGGTGGGTGGGGGCAGTAACTGTCAGAGAGGGTTCGATAGAGCCGTGTCACAAGGCGGAGGGACGGGAGGGTGGACGGGGGGACCTTTCGTGTGACAGGTCACATTGTGTGTAGAGCCCCTAAAATGCGAATTTCTGACGTCTAACTGAAGGCGGCTGCCGATTGCACCACAATCTTAAATTGTCTGGTATCGCCACTGACGTCGCGGAAGTCAATCTGCTAATAAATCGGATCTGTCTTCACAGTTGAGCTGGACATCCATGTGGTTTTCACTAGCATTCTTTATCAGCACAAAACGAACCAAAACCCACTGGCAATAATTGACTTATCGCAGACGGTTATCTCATTAGCAATTTACACGTCAGTCCATTTGGCACTAAATGTAAGCCATCGGCGGTTTCTAGCCAGCTTAGCCCTGACCAATAGAAATAACTCTCGGGTCCTGGCTTAAGCAGTACACCACATAACTGTGCCGATTATCGCCCAATTGAACCCGCCCTTAACCAATCAGCACCTGAAGGTCATGAGTGCCTGCGTGCAGATGTAAGTGCGCTGGCGCGATAAAAAGCAGTGCCAATGGTACTCGCGACAATTCGTCGCTCCTGCTCTCTTTATCATTCGAAATGGTGCTCGCAGAAGTAGAATTATTCGAAGACGCAGTTCCCTTGGTTCGTAGCTGTCCAGCCCTCAACGAAATTCGCCTTTCGGGAGACTTCAAAGACCTCAGCATAGAGGTAACGGTTACCGTTCTTTACACGAAAATTTGTGCATGTTTGTTAGGTAAAGCACGGCGCTATTTTCAATGCCCATCGAATAATACTTGCGGCTCGTATTCCGTCATTGCGAGCTGCTCTCAGTGGCGCCCTCGGGAAGGCTAAATCTGTCCTAAATTGGTCGACCATGTCTCTAAAGTAAACTCATCCTCCTTTCTCTGAGTTTGCTCACTTATTATGCATTTTCTAGCCTCGCCAAATCAGTCATCCAGTATGTTTATACGGGGCAGTTGGAAATGACGCAGACGAATGTGATGGGCGTAGTGCTGTTTGCGAAAATGGTGAAACTGTCTGATCTGGAGAATCGGGCAGTGCAATTCATGGCCAACAGGTAAATATGTGTCGGCTTTTTTCTATCTAACTGTCGGCTGTAAAGAGTGAATTTAGAAAATCTGGCAACTACATGGGACTTTGCCAAATCTATGTGCATTGGATCCCTGATGGAGATTTGCCTGAATCTGATGAACGCGCAGTTTAAAAGTTTGGTATCTAGTGACGTCTTTGTTCGCCTGCCTGCTGACACCGTGCTGACTTTGCTGCGAAATGATAGTCTGCCAGTCGACTCTGAGGAGGACGTTTTTATGGCCATTTCAAGTTGGGTGCGTTCTGGCGGTAAGGAGGCCGACAACGAGAGGCTGAGTGTGCACGCTCCAGAGATGTTAAAGGAGGTTCGTTGGAGTCAGACGACTCTCCAATTCCGCAGTCGTCTAGTGGATAGTCATCCAATGTTTCAGGAAAGCAACAGCTGCCTGTAAGTACATGCTGTTCCCGTTCGTCATTTATTTCTAATGAAAGTCGCTTTATGACTCAGGTGGAGCGGTGGATGAGCTGCGCAGACAGGGACACGACTCCGTGTCCCTTCAACCGACGTTGGAGGCCGCATCCGACGATCTTCGTATTTGGAAGGGGCAAAGGTCAGGACAGGTGGTCTGTTCTGCGTTTCAATTCGCGGCTGGAAAATGAAGAAAGGGTTGCTGACATGGAGAAGCATGAATACGCCTCCTGCAGTGTCGTGGGCGGTGAGTTGCCTAACAGTTACGCTCCCCCTCTTCTGCGCACCTGCCTTGTTTTCCTCTTTGTCGAATTTGACCATTTGGTGCCTGTTTTGGCAGAATTTTAACCCACACACACACGCGCAGTAATAATAGGGGGTTTTGAGGTTATGGCGTTGTCTACTTGCTCCCGTGGAATTCCATCAAAATTAGCAAACAGGAAAACCGACGTAACTTAGCCTGGCCTGTCCCGACGCGTTTGCTTTTTCCGTCTTTAATTTACCCAACCGTGTCTCCACCTTGAATGGTTTGGGTCCGTCACTGGCGGCTACTCAACTGGGGGACTAGTCCATCCACATCTTTTTGTCTGACGACGATATTACCCTCTTTTTGCAGCAGTTGCACTTCTTCCCTGTCAACTGCACGACCCTGTTTTAGTAGACCTTACATTGTATTTTATCCTTCAAAGTCTCCTGTCATCCACCTCATACAGGCACTTTATTAACATTTTTTTCTACCCCGTCCCACGGAAGAGAGCATTTTCGTAATTGGAGGAGACACTGCGCAGGTGAACAACTCAGCGAGCGTCGATGAGTTTCTGGTGGGAGAACAGTGCTGGCGCAAACGGCCGCCCCTCGCTGTTGGACGCTCGTACCACGCAGCCGCTGTCGTAAGGGAAGCCGGAGGGAAGGCGCTTATCGGAATTTTCGGTGGACGCAGTGACCATGGACGCCTTTCCTCTTGTGAAGTCTACGACGTCAGTCAGGAGAGGTGAGATCACACTTGTCTTAGCGTCTCTTTGTTGTCCTTTTATCTTACAAAATTCTCCTGTTTTACCTTCTCACTCGTCTCCTTCCCGTTCCCACTACAGGTGGTTCAAACTGCCCGATATGCGAGAGAAGAGGAGCGCCACAGCTGCAGCCTGTCTGCCCGGCGACAACCGAGTCTTCGTTTTTGGCGGTCGGAATGACTCCTGCTGGCTGCCTTCCATGGAGTTCTGTCATTTGCAAGCAGACTGGCTAGAGAGCGCGGCCTCAGCCAGCACGCAGGACTTCTGGCAACCAGCCGCACCCATGAGAACTGCACGATCGGCGCTGGCAGCGACCCACTTTCGGGGCAAAATCATTGTCGCCGGGGGATATGATGGTGAGAAGGATCTGGACGTGGTGGAGATGTTCTTACCACCGGACGCCAGGTGTCCCCAGGGCCAATGGACAGTGCTGGCCGGCATGAAGGAAACCCGCTGGTCATTCACGCTTGTCCCCTCCACCGACGCCGTATATGCTTTCGGTAATGATGCCTCCTCCTGCTCCTCCCTTGTTCTACACTGACGCAAAAATGTAACTGCATTCCTTCTCCACAGTCCTAATCTCTCTCTCTCTCTCTCTACCTTGGATGCCATTCCATGACCTTTTCTACGTATTCCATTTTATGAAGAGGATTAAGATATCCGTATGATGGCAACAATGTGAAGATGTGACTTTGCATGGCGTACTGACTTCCTTTACTAGAATTGTGCGACAGAATAGTTAAAGCCTCTCCAGTAGATGATCGGTTAATTTCTTAATTTGTCTACTCGGAGATTTTTTGGAACAGATTTCTACTGGCTGTGTTGTGTAAATCGTCTTCTAGTTTCTCTACTAATTTATACACAGAAATAGATTTTAACTAGCATTGTGCAATTTTTGCAGGCTTTTTGTTCAGATCACGAAACACGGTGGAGACTCTTACAGCTCCAGATGAATCAGCTGATGTCAGCAACGACTTGACATCTTGGACCTGGTCGTCCAAGAAACCCCTGGAGTCGCTCGCATTTATCGGTGGAGCTGCTGGCATCAACATGTAAACTTCTGCGTTTCTGCGTCCCTTCCATGGCCCACATGTTAAGAAATAAACGACTTGCAAAGTAACCGGTTGTGTCATCCCTTCTGAAAACGTCGAATGGGTGTGCGGTGCCCAACACATAAGGTGACCGATCAATGACGTCTTTATCCTCGCGAGGGATGAAACCTATGGAACAGTTATTTTTTACATAGGAGATGCTCATTTTCCGAAGTAATGCATGGCTTTAGGGACAAATAATTGTCGCCAACGGATATGATGGTAGATAAGAATTAGACATAGTGGAGATCTTCTGATCACCAGATGCCAGGAATTCCTGGGACTTATAAAAATGACCTGCCATTTTTGTGAAAAAAACATCGAAAGAATGTAAAGTGCGCTGAGGAAATGTCAACATTGGGTCCGACTTTCAGACATACGCAGACTTGGTTCCTCCCTGGAAATCCACATTTTGATCAAAAATGTCACTTACCGATGTCTGAAGTGCCAGCCGGCTATAAAAACAAATAGCTGCGTTATTACTCAAAACACGGGCAGATCTCCATGAGTCACAATTTGTAAGTATCTACTCGGGACATCATGAAACGACTTGTGAATATCTGCAGAAATGCGGAAGTTATTATTAAGAATATGCGTGTGCAGCATATGCATATTTCACCCTCTGTGCGTCCACAACTTCAATCTGTTGCTGTCCTACTTCGAAAATGAACATGAAACCGCAAGTGAACACTAATTTCGCTTGAGTGCTCGAATGATTTTCTTCGCAGTAAAATATCACTATTAAGAGTAAGTTCCAGTTCTGAAAATTAAGACAGTTCCGTCTCCGAACCTACTTGATTTCTTCCGAAAAGGAAGGCATGATTAATCAGTCATTGTAAATATCGGTAAGGATCGGTCAGAAGTCTTTTGTTTGAATTCAACATAAAGCAAATGCGGTGAAGTCGTGATTAACATCGGAACACGCCAGTCTTTGTGAACGTCTATCCAATCATGCTGATTTGGAAACAAGAGCTTGAATCTCTGCCTCAAAACGTGAATTCTTGCTCTCGCACTCACCCCACTGACGTTAATCTTTCCCAGGATCAAACCATACACCTATGCCTAGAAGAATAGTTTTTCATTAGCGTTTGAATAATTCTGATGGACAAGAGGCTCTACAGCACACTGTACGTGACATAGAGTGGCAGGAAGTCATCAATTCAAAATAACCTTCCGAATCGCCTGCTATTACATGGAGCTTAGGCGAAGAGCAGGCTTGATTCGGAGCACCAGTCGCAGCTAGACGGCTGTGAAGACCGAGTTGATGGTGCGCAATCCTCCTGTTCCTGGGTCGATAACCCTCTGACACACAGACACACACACTCACACACACAACTCGAGCTCGACTCCAATCTGCACGCACGAAACCCCACCCAACCACACACCCCTTACCTCCGCCTCTCGCACAAGATCAGGCGATCTTATTGCTAAGCGATGCACCCTGACTGATTGCGGAGTAGAAGTGGGTGTTTTTAGCTTGAAACTTGGATGACGGCTATAATTATCAGTTGCCAAAATGCGCTGTAAATATTCGAGATGGACTTTAGCCTATTCATGGTATCATCTTTTCTCTTACAAATCATGAGCGCGATTAAGATGAAGACTACCTCGGAGATAAGCGTGACGGGCCGTGAACGGCACGGTATTCTGCTCCAACTACGCTAACGAGAGCTTCACTGAAGCATTCCATAGCTTCGTCCCATGTGGGACTATATGCTCACAGCTGCAGTCTACATCCTTATCAGTAGATCAGGAGGATGGGGAGAACATTCCATTCCTCGACAGTTTTCCTTCTTATATAAACCTTCGAATTACCGTAGAAACTGGTTCGTGGAGTAGTTCCTGAAGAGGCGAATGGTTGAAGCCGACACGGATCAGGTGAAATGACAGGCTTAGCCGAGCTGTCGAGGTTGTGGTCACTATTACGGCCCTAGAGACAGCAAGCAGGATGCCAAGTCGCAACGTATGCACACTGTACCCACTTAAGTCTAATGTCCGTGTAAGCAGACTTGCTGAACATCTTTCGTAACGATGGTGCCAGGATAGACACGGGGAAGTTTTTACTTCTCCAACAGAGATCTTTCATTACGATGGCCACATGCGGCTCAAATCTATCATGCAGGAGGACAAACTGGCAAACAAAGGAGCTTGAGAGAGAGATTCCCAAGACAAAACGGGACTAGTAAGTCTCGTAACGCCATCATTGGACGTCCGTCTACCACGGCTAAATCATGTGTGAGATGGAGCGCAAACCGTACAACATAGGGGTGTCGTTGGTAAGCTGTCATATCAGAGCTATGCAATTGCTCATAATGAGTATGTTAGGAATGAAATGACTGAAGAGCTTAACTTTGGGCTTTGACTGGCCCGAATGTTGCTGCGAATAATTGAACTGAAATCCATAAGCTACAGCAGAGTAATCGTACAACACTGAGAAATGGCAGTGTCACTAAAACCGGCCACGCATTAGATGCGTTGGACCAACACGCGAGTTAGATCGGGGATTGTCTGGCGTTAATTGGAACGTGCACTCTGGAAATGTCAACATTGGGTCCGACTTTCAGACATACGCAGACTTGTTTCCTCCCTGGAAATCCACATTTTGATCAAAAATGTCAGTTAACAATGTCTGAAGTGCCAGTCGGCTATTAAACAAGTAGCTGTGTTATTACTCAAAACACGGATCGATCGCCGTCAGTCACAATTTGTACGTATCTACTCGAGACATCATGAAACGAATTGTGAATATCTGCAGAAGTGAGGACGTTATTATTAAGAACTAGCTGGACCCCGCCACGCGTTGCCGTGGCTCAATGTGATGACATGGTGAAGAAGGAAAGTGGAAGGGGAGGTGTTTCGATTATGTTTAATTTCATAATGCTTGTTGGTATACAATGTATTTTGTCTGTGCAGACATACAGATTTTCTGGTTTGCCGACTCTGGAGCACGCAACATATGCTTGGCCATGTGAGAAGCAACCCGTTTGCAGATTCAAACCGCACAGTTCTAGAGATTGACCCTGAGCTTTGTTGATCGTGACTGCAAGCTGCAATCGAATCGGTAATTGCAGTCACCTAAATTGAAATAGCATATCAGTTGGAATGAGTGGAATGCCATGAATCAGAACATGTTCAACTTTGAAAGGTGCTGCCAAGACAGTTGCTTCCACGACGTTGCCGCAGCATTAATTTTTTGCTGCAAGTAGCGTGCCGTTGTAAAGTTTCGACTGGTTGATATTACACAACATGGTAGTCAGCACGCCGATTTTCAATTGCAGTACGTGCGGCGGCTTCCCTGACAGATCAAGTGAATTCATAAAATTCTGTTGGATGAATAAGTGCCTCGTCTGCGTCCACAGCAGTATCAACGGACGTGTAAATGACTGCTTCGCTTTGAATCCTACGCTGAATAATACACACATCTATGTGCTTGGCCGCAGGAATAGCTCGCCCTTTCAACCAATCGAGTGGTATAATTGGTCTGAATATTTAGAAATACCTGTCCAACCAAGTCTCCTTTTGAGGACATTAAACATCTGAAGGTAAAGGTAGGGAACTGCATCCTGAAGTCAGATTAACCGGTGCTGTTCCATTCCCAAATGCCAGCAATTACTGTGTGAGAATATCTCAGCTGTTCGGGCATTCTGCTACTGGATTGTAGTTTATTTTACCGTCTGGGCATGGCTCTGCAATGTAGAGTATTTTAGACAGACATCTACTTCTTCGGCTGTTGTCTGCGCAAATCTTGCAGTGTTCGATCATGGGCCTCGAACCATGGTGCATTTAACCCAAACGCTAAGTTTGCATTTCTATATTACTTTTCCCGTGCCGGGTGCCTTGCAAATGTTGTACGTGGGAGTATCAATGAATAACACGTTCAACGACAATTTCAAAGCAGAATGAGCAATCCTTCCGCCGGGTAGCAGGATTGTAGGTATTCCGGAGAACACAAGTCCTAGGGCTACGTCATTTTTGGATCATATTGCTGTCAAAATGAGTCTTATTAGGAACGTTTTCCCAGTCCCTCCTGGAGCATCTTACAAGAAGATTCCTTCAACCCCGTTATTGACAGTTCGAAAAGGCGTCAGTTTGGCTTAACGCGAAGAACGCAATTAATGCTGTGGCCAGTCGACCTAAGGCAATCTGTTGCACATTTGCAGCTGTAAGGTAAACACATTGCCAATTCACTAAGTGTACTGCAAGTGAACAACACCTGGACTTCGCTCATGAATGGAAAAAGAAAGAATCCGCCACATGGATTTGTTGCTGTTGGCGCATAGTCCAGCCCGATAGTGTGAGATTTCATTGCGTTTTATGTCCACATCCCTTTCTCTCTTTTCGTGTTGCAGGCCGAAAACGGCCATGTCACTGCCTTTATTCACGTACTTACAAATGTACCTAATTGATTTCCCGGAAGTGCAGCGTTCCACGTTTATGTGAACTTCGTTTG